ATAGTGCCACAAGTTTCTTTCCGTAAGGGAGATGTAATTCTGCCTCAGTATCTCCATATTAAAAATAGCTTCTAGCTTCAATCTTTAATAACATGACTGAAAAATATGATATTGAAATTTAAAAAATGCATTTTATAGGGGCCAATCAATACATTCATAACTTCTGATCAAAATTTCAAGATACCGTTAACATTTTTACAAAAAATATCAGATATCGTCGAAAAACGCCATTTTTTGACATTAAACCTTAATTATTTTAAAAATCTGACATGCTGGAGAAATTTGGCTTGGGGCATATATCGTTTTTAGTATCCAAAAATCTATAAGAAATACGTAGTCCGGTTTAAAGTAACAAAATATAATATTTTTTGTAAACTAGCGTTATTATTAAATCAACAGATAAAAATAAATAAATGAATTGTTACGTTCAAGCCCCGGAGGATAAATTTTTTAGAAAGAATTAGAAGGAGCTCCCGCTTAAAAACGAGAAAGGATTTGGACAGAAGGGAAGAACGTAGCGAGATAGTTTGTCTCGCAGGTACACACGGAGGCGTACGTGCGATGCGAAGGCGCTGTTAATGGGATTTGACAGACGAGTCAACGTCCCGAAAAGGACGCTATTATTCAATCTCATAAACCAACGCGATCGTTGGTCTTGTTTTGATCAAGAAACTTGATCCTTGTGACTCAGGATCGGACCTGTGCGATTACCTGCGCAGGAAGGGGAAGATGAACGTGAATGAGGTCTCTTAGTTAAAATAAAGAGTTGTGATTAAACATAACACACAAGTTTACTAACTAAGTTAACAAATTTCATAGTTACCAAACAAATTTCGTTATGATAAAAATTACGTTTGAAAATTTACGGGTTTAATAAATATTATGACCAATAAATTTTATAATGAGATTTGATACTAACTTAATAAATATTATGTTGACAAATGAAGTTTGTAATATGAGGTTTAAAAAATATAACTGTGATAAAAATATTAACGGGTCATTTACTCTATAATTATAATTAATTTTTACGAAAATATATCATACAAAAATATAATTCAGAACAGGATTACAATTTAGTTGATCGCTATTAGAGATATAAGGCTTACAAGTTGCAAAATTATAAAAGGAAAACGAACGGGAAAGTGAATATAGAATATAAATTTGAAGCATATTTGCGAGTTATTACTATTTACATATATACATGTTTATAATTATTCCGGAAGCTCCTCCAACGTAGCTGTGAAAAGAGGGAAGAAATTATAAAAGAAAAAAACGGAGATTAGATAAGGGAAGGGGGAGGTATGAAAGAATACAGGAATCGTGTTCACCGTAGTGATAGTAGAAATAATAATAATAACGAACGAGGAAGAGAGATTGGAATGTGTTCAAAAAACTCTATCCGTGGTATTTCAGATTTCTGAGTAATTCCGATTTATTTGATAATTTTTGCGCGGTGAAACCTGTTTTGTCGATTCCATCAATTGGGGATATTATTTGATAGAACTTATTAAAGGAAAATTAAGGAAATATTCTTATTTTGAATAAAGTTTTAGGGTAGGAAATATTGAATTCCACCAAAACTGAGCCCGGATATATGATCAAGTTATCAGACTCAAAAGAAATTAAAATAAGAAAGAGAGATTTATATTTTAATGAGAGTTGGATGTTGAAACGGCTGTACTGGTCGGTTGCTTTGGTTGAAAGGGCTCTTGATCACTTCACTCGCGAACTTGGTTTAGCGAACTTAAGATTTAGTATTTCGGAGAAGTATAGATTACTCTACTGGAGGATAATATTGTTCTGACGAAGGTCCGGAAAAATCTCGGTTTACCATATATGGGAAGTCTCAAGGGGTGTGAAGTGTTTCAAGTTGAAAGAGTTAAGGTCTGATTGACAGGATGCCATTGATAAGATGCAACCCTTGATTCGTTAAGTTTCACTTTCTCAAAACTTATTCGGTAATCGAATTTTAGGTAATTCACTCCGCCTGCCTTACATTGCTAAGTTTAACAGCTATTAATTGATAGACCGTCTTCGGTGCCACCAATTTTCGAGTGAGTCGCTACCCTGATCATTACAATTTTGTTTGATTGGTCATCTATTGGGGGGGGGTTTAACTTACAATTAGTGCAAACCCAGAGTTTGAGGATGCAAACTTTCACTCGACAAAAACAATGTTTTTTTTTTGGGTACCCATCAATCGTTAATTTTTCTTTTATTGCTTAACCATGAGGTTTTGAAATCAACTCAATAATTGAAAACAAGTAAATCACTTTGCTAAAGGGATAACTCTCTCTCTTTATGCAAATTTGGAAATTTAGAGCATGTTTCGAAATCAAATTTTATTACATGCACGTACCCGCTTGTGAATTATTGTTCTTAGCTGCAGGAAAAATCTTATAGCTTTGTGAATCGTTTCGCGATTTCAGCCCCACCATGTCTGGACAATATTTACTTCTCAGTTTTTAGAAAATAGGGGTCTTAGGCACGTTTCAAAATCGGATGTTACTGTCGCAGACAAGATATATGTGACAAAAAATAGTTGTAACTGTTTTCAAAATCTTTCCGTTAGAATGTGTTTTCTTGTTTGTTCATGTAACATTAAAATAAATTTTCCCAAGGACTGATAACGGCCTATCTCAATGGATCAATACACGTCCATAATTGATAACCATTTATCTTATTCTAAACCCTTATTCGGATGCACGTTCGCGAACAGAGAAATCGTGTAATCCACCGGACATAACAGAATCATTATTAAGAGACAGTAATATTAAAGCTATGATAAGTACATACCAAGAGTATAAAATCCGAAATGTGTGTGAGGATGGAGACACAGATTAGCACCAGCAACGATGGCTGCATCACATCTTCCGGATCGAATTTGCCTGTAAGCCTCATTCATTGCAAAGTGACTCGAACTACATGCAGTATCAATATTATACGATGGGCCAGTAACACCAAGCCAACAGGAAATTCTATTTGCCATAACAGCCTTATTACATCCAAGTAATGGTTGCCCAGCTATCTGTGCACAAAACATTAAAAAAAATACTATTATGATATTAAAAGATATATTGATGAATTGTATAATAAATTTATTATTAAAATTATTAAAAATGAATAAACTTTTTAATGCTTTGCTTATTAAGTGTATAGTTTTGTAAATTTTTTAGAAAATTTTATATAAAATAATCTATCTTATCTAAATATCTATGAAGTAACTATCTTATATAAATTATTACTAATAAATTAGATAAATTATTAGATCGTATGATGTATCATACGTACATGAGGTTTAGAATAGGTTAAATAATTCTCCGTATCAGTCACACAAATTGCTGTAAAAACACCAATGCTTGTTCCCCGTAATTTTTTAGGATTAACACCTGCATCGATAATTGCTTCGTAAGTATGCTCAAGTAACAGTCTCGCTGCGGGATCCATCGTATGAGCATCTGTAACTGGTATGTTGAAGAAGTCATAATCGAACTTCTCTATGTTATTGATGTTACCGATTCGATGAGGCATATTATACCCTGTTTCAAAACAGAAAATTTAATTTAAATATATTTTATAAAGGTATATATTGCTAGTCCGGAGCAATAGAGTCATATCTCAAAAAATGTCATTTTTCAGGAGTGCCTTTTAAAGATTAGCAGTTGATATATAAAGATTGAAATTAAAGTAATTAAAGCTAGTCATGAATCCCAAATTTGGAGTTGATACATAAATTCCTTGTGCCAGTTTTCTACTTGGGGATATTTTTGCCAATCTTTGAAAGGCTCTCCTGAAAAATGACATTTTTTTGAGATATAACTCTATTGCTCCGGATTAGCGATATGTTATATATCTTTATATTCCACGTGCATGTATTCGGTGCTATTCGGTGCCTGTGCGGAGGTGTAGAATGATAGTGTTTATAACCTTCAATTCGAACGAGCTATTTTCACTCCCAGCGGGTGAGAATGTC